CTGTGGTGAAGTGGTATACACGCGCGCATGGCTCAGTGAGTGCCCGGGTTCAAGCCCCAGTGGCTGCAATTGCAAGACTATGGATATATAATATATCCGGGAGCGGGGCGGGGCGGGGCAGCGGGGCACGTGGCGCGTGCGTGTGCGTGCGGCGGCCTTGGCCTTGGCGCTTGCGCGCACGTGCGTGGTGACGCTCTCTCTTTTCGCCACGTGTCCGCGCTGTTTTCCACCAAAAAACCCGACGCTCTCTCTTTTCGCCACGTGTCCGCGCTGTTTTCCACCAAAAAACCCTGAAAATCCCGCTGTCGAGATTACACCTGTTTTCCACCAAAAAAACCCTGAAAATCCCGCTGTCGGGATTACACCTATCCCGCACCCGCTGTTGCCTGCGGGGGGAAGGGCGGGTTGGAGCCGGGACCGTTCCCRCTCTGATACCAGTGTGCCGGACCCGCCGGGATGRCGGTCCGTTAGGATGGAGACGAAGAAGGAGGCAGAGATGGAGCTGGAGGGGACAGCGCAGCTCCGACGCAGACTCCACACGCAAGTASTCCAAGATCTGCGAAAGTGAAGAATGCCGAAAAACAGACTGCAGCTGGGGTATACCCCCAGCGGACTGACTGGACTGGACTGGACTGGCCTGGTACCGACCGTGGTACCGGGCGGGACTGGACTGGACTGAAACAATATACGGCCTGTGGGGTCAGGCCACGGCCTGGTCCCACAGGCCGAACTAGCAAATAGCCAAATAGGCCCTGGCTGTAGGCCAGGGCAGATGAAGGCCTGCTGCAATTTTCATTATGTTCACAAGTTTTCCTTCACGACACCATTGAAATTATTCACTTCCAAATTCAAGTACTTTCGTCATGCAGGCAGGTGAAAGATAGAAAGAGGACAATCCTTTTCTTCATTTCAAATAGGCATAATCAATCTCCTTTGCAAGTATTCTTCTACCTACCTGAAGTAAAACAACCAAGTTCAAAGAACACTGATGCAACCCCATACACAAGTCAGACTTTTCCATTCACATGCATGACTTACGCAATAATTCCTCTACCTTTTCAACGAACATTCAATGAACAAGGTCAAGCAAAGTGTGGGTTCACACAAGTGTGAAAGGAAGTCTGAGTCAATCAACTGACCGACCTTGAGTGAAGTCTGGCTCACTCAAGAAAGTCGGGTAATACTTCAATCAGAAGAAAATAATCGCCGTAGAATATGCGGCTCAGAACTCCATAAGTTGTGGCCTCTCTCCTGAATCAAGGTCCGCGTCCTTCTCGAAGTGCCCGATCACACCAAGGTCGGGTTCACTGAAAGAATTCAAATGGGATAACCCTCCAAGAGGGTGCTCCTATGATCAAATCTCACGTCATCCCAACGTCACGTACCGTCCTAGCACATTCTCAATTGCACCTTGACCACCAAGGATACTTCCCAACCAGCCGCAAGTCCACGCCGCCTCCAATTACCCGGTCCACTTACAATAATTATACCAACATGCCGCTCCCGATTTCTAAATTAGTCTCACCCGGTTCCAAAAATGGTCCCAGACAGTCCCATGCTATCGCCGCATCACTGGATGACCCCAAACTCAAATCCCGCTTGCACTGAGCGCCGCAAAAAAATAAAGATGGCGCTGGTCCAAACCTCATGTGCTGCGAGCCCCCCAATAAAATAACGATGTCCTTGCGGCGCAAACCGCAAGTACCGCTCTACAATAATTGCTGCCACAAGCATTCATTTCGCACTTTCCTCATGTCGCCGGCCCACGCACCACTGCCACAAAATCCCAACCACCCACCAGTGTCAGTCCAACCTCCAGGCCACATTGGGATCCACCATAGCTGCCGCGCACCACAAAAATAACGGCGAACCACTGCTTGCTGCGCCGTCAAAACCGGTACCACTACTGCCCCGCAATACCACCACCATATCACACAAAAAAAACTGCCTCCACTGTGACGCAAAAGACCCGCAACATTTTCCCTCGCAATAGTGTTGCCGATGTGCCGCCAGCAAACCCCCCCAAAAAATAACGTCGATACCACCGCCAATCTCGGCAGCATGATCCCATCGGATACACTGCGTTGTTGTGCCACTAATCGAGCAGCACCTCCCCACACTCACATAAAAACAAAAAGCGGCGCCGCGCAGCAAATCCGGCAGCACCTTCCCTTAGGAAGGTCTTGACGCCGTGTCAGCAGTCCCGCAACACCTTCCCTCAGGAAGGTCTTGATGTTGTGGCGGCCGTTCGACAGCACAACCCCACTAAAATAGGTGTCGCTTGCCGCATCGTCCGGACCTTGACGCAGCCCTACCGCCACAACACCAGCCCACACTCACAACACACGCACAAGGGTGGGGCAGAAAGCTCCCAGCCCTCATTTACGCCTGCCTCACTTCTCCTCCTCCAACTCCCTGCAGACCTCCACTCCACCAGCAGCACCTCCACCGGCAGCACCGCCCCTCTCCAGCAACATGCAGCAGCCAGCCGGCATTCACACAAGTGAATGCCCCAGCAGCACTGCCACAATTGTGAGGCTGTTGGGTGGAGTGCTGACTTTTATAGCCAGCTGTTGGTTGTGGGCAGTTGCTTTGCCCACAGCCAGGTAACAATTTCGTCAGTGCTCCTGGCCCTTGATCTAAATCAACGGCCAGGAGCTAGGAGCCTTGGTTTCCCCCTAGGGAACCAAGGTCATCCATTCCCAGAAGCATCTGGCCTTCCTTGCAGGCCACATGCTCCAGGAAATGGTTGTACCCAGCTAGACTGCAGCCAGTTCAAAAACGAACACGTGCAGTCACTTCACCCCCTAGAACCTTCTGGGGGTTGCACCTATGCCGCAGCCGCGACCAAATTCGCGGCCGTTTCCCCCCCCCTTTTTTTTTTCCCTTTTCTTTTTCGTCTTTTTCCCTTCTTGCCCTGTGCCTGTATCTGGTGCAGGATGAGCACCTCATTCAGGCACGCAGCCCAAGAGAGCTGCCCGTTTCCAAAACGAACGGGCTCCCTCTGGTTGGCTTCCCAAGCCTGATCCTCTGCCTGTGCGCTTGCATCGAGCACAAGAAATGTGCCAGATTCAGGCGCACAGAAAGAGTCACGTCGAAGGGCAAAAGCAACGTCGTTTTGAACGTTGGGCTCCGACAAGCCAGGTAGGATTCATCCTTTCTCTCTCTCTCTCTCTCTCTCTCTCTCTCTCTCTCTCTCTCTCTCTCTCTCTCTCTCTCTCTCTCTCTCCGTGGGTGTATAGTCCCACATTCCGACGGCAGATTCATCCGACTTTACCCATCCTATAGATGAAAGCCTCTATGCAGCCGTTTCTGTGAAACGAACGGGCGCAGAGAGGAACTACAGCTCGTAAAAACGAGCAAAAGGGAGAATCTAAAAAAAAGAAGAAAACAAAAAAATCCCTACACTATTAAAATCGTTGAAGGAAGAAATATAACATTCGGGCCGTTCGGGCCGACGGTCCGGATGTTCGCGCGATCTTAAGACTTCAAGACTTTAAGATCGTGCGAACATCTTGACCGTCGGGCCTGCCGAACGGCCTGGATCGACGTGCGATCTTAAGATCGCGCAAACATTCGGACCGTCGGGCCTGCGGAACGGCCCGGATCGATGCGCGATTTGTAGGACCAACAGGTAGGCCCAGGCCGTCGCCGCCCGTTGCAGGTGAGTGGAGGGCGCTGTGGCAACGGTTCTTTAGACCCTACCCTGTTCGTCGAAGGCCTACACTACCGACAAACGGGCCTACGATGCTCGCTACGCTACCGCTACCGAGAAAAGGGCCTACAACGCTCGCTACGCTACCAACAAACGGACCTACGATGCTCGCTACGCTACCGACAAATGAACCTACGACCTAACGCTACGAGGTCGCTCTACGCCCTCGCTATCGACGACGCCCTTTCTCTATCTCTCTCTCTCTCTCTCTCTCTCTCTCTCTCTCTCTCTCTCTCTCTCTCTCTCTGTGTGTGTGTGTGTGTGTGTCGGGGTCTGTGTTGGGAAAGGTGGTCTTTGAAGGTGCTGTCGGTGCTGCTTTTTCGAGGTGGACTGGACTCGACTACGTGATGGCCGACTCAGGTTAGTTAATCCGTACTCCCTTACTCCCTATCCCCTCTATGTGTGTGTGTGTGTGTGTGTGTGTGTGAGAGAGAGAGAGAGAGGTGTGTGTGTGTGCGCACGCGTGTGTGTGTGTGTGTGTGAGAGAGAGAGAGAGAGAGAACGGGCGGGCGGGCTCCGCCAGCGTCCGCCGCTCGCTCTGCCAACCGTCGCCGCCCGCTCTGCCCACCTCCGCCGCCTGCTCCGCCCACCTCCGCCAACCTCCGCCCCCCGCTCTGCCAACCTCCGCCACCCATCGCCTTCGCCCACTCGCCTCCTGCTTTGCCAACCTCCGCTGCCCAACGCCTCCGCCCACTCGCCTCCCACTCCGCCAACCTCCCCCGCCCATCGCCTCGGCCCACTCGCCTCCCGCTCCGCCAACCTCCGCCGCCCACTCGCCTCTCGCTCCGCCAACCTCCGCCGCCCATCGCCTCTGCCCACTCGCCTCTGCCCACTCACCTCCCGCTCCGCCAACCTCCACCGCCCATCGCCTCCGCCCACTCGCTTCCCGCTCCGCCAACCTCCACCGCCCATCACCTCCTCCCACTCGCCTCCCGCTCCGCCAACCTCCGTCGCCCATCGCTTCCACCCACTCGCCTCCCGCTCCACCAACCTCCGCCGCCCATCACCAACCTCCGCCGCCCAGCACCAACCTCCGCCACCCGCTCCGCCAACCTCCGCCGCCCGCTCCGCCAACCTCTGTCGCCCATCGCCTCCCGCTCCGCCAACCTCCGCCGCCTGCGCAGCCAATCTCCGCCGCCTGCTCCGCCAACTTCCGCTGCCCATCGCCTCCCGCTCCGCCAACCTCCGCCGCCCAGCCCCCGCTTCGCCAACCTCCGCAGCCCATCGCCTCCCGCTTCGCCAACCTCCGCAGCCCATCGCCTCCCGCTCCGCCAACCTCCGCCGCCCATCGCCTCCCGCTCCGCCAACCTTCGCCTCCCGCTCTGCCAACCTCCGCCGCCCGTCGCCTCCCGCTCCGCCAACCTCCGCCGCCCATCGTCTCCCGCTCCGCCAACCTCCGCCGCTCGCTCCGCCAACCTCCGCCGCCCATGGCCTTCTGCTCCGCCAACCTCCGCCGCCCGCTCCGCCAACCTCCGCCGCCCATCGCCTCCGCTCCTCCGGTCCTCCGTCGCTCATCGCCTCCGCTCCGCCCATCGCTCCTCCGCCCACCTCCGCCCATCGCCTCCGCTCCTCCGCCCGCCTCCGCTTCTCTGCTCCGCCCATCGCCTCCGCTCCTCCGCCCGTCTCCGCTCCTCTGTTCCTCCACCCGCCTCCGCTCCTCCGCTCCTCCGCTCCTCCGCTCCGCCCATCGCCTCCGCCCGCCTCCGCTCATCCGCCCATCGCCTCCGCTCCTCCCATCGCTCCTCCGGCCTCCTTCGCTCCTCTCATCGCCTCCGCTCCTCCCTTCGCGCCTCCGCTCCTCCGCTCCTCCGCCCGCGTCCGCTCCTTCGCCCATTGCCTCCGCCCGCCTCCGCTCCTCCGCCCATCGCCTCCGCTCCTCCGCCCGCCTCCGCTTTTCCGCCCATCGCCTCCGCCTGCCTCCGCTCCTCCACGCGTCGTCGCTCCTCCGCACACCTCCGCTCCTTTGCCCATCGCCTCCGCTCCTCCGCGCGCTTCTGCTCCTCTGCCCGCCTCCGCTCCTCCGCGCGCCTCCGCTCCTCCGCCCAGCGCCTCCGCTCCTCCGCCCCTCCTCTCCTCCGCGCCTCCGCTCCTCCGCTCCTCCGCCCATCGCCTCCGCTCCTCCC